AGAGACGTTTATCAGATTATTGGAAATGCAGGACCAGTGCTCAGGAGAGATGCTGGAGTAAAATATATGATAAATGTATAAAATACTTCATAAAATATATGAAAAAGATACAGCTGGTATGTAGGTTATGAGGTTCAGGCTAGAACCTCACACACCAAGGTGCAGAATTAACCCACATTCACTTGTTAGTTGGAGTTCTGTTTTTGTACATCCTTGTCAACTGTATTCTGTGTTTTGAAAGCAAAGAAAATCTCGCATTTAAACACTAGATGTATACTTGTTAATTGTTTCAGGCTTTTTTATTTATTGCATATTTTTGTGGAAAACTGACTGTTAATGGCTGTTTGGCATACTTAACATTTTTCTAAATATTCTTTACCTCTTTTGTATTGACTTTTAGCACGACCACATGATTTCTTCGATGCACAAACACTGGACGCGATAAGACATCGAGCCATATGCTTTAACCTCTCAGCTCATATAGAAAGTTTAGGGAAGGGACACAGTGTTGTTTTTCATAGTACTGTAAGTATTTGATTTTTTCCCCAAATGTTTCCCACAATTTGACACTTTAATGATTAAGCTGAAATTTTTAACCTTTAATTTGAGCTATTTAGAAATATTAGAGTGGCATTTGGGATGCTAGGCATTTGAAGATCATCTCTGACTTACGTAAACTAGGTGTGTTTTCTGATCTTTGGTTTCCTTCTGTATAAAACTGGAACATTAAACGTCTTCTAATTCACTTCCTATGTGCTGCATGCTCCTCCATCACCCCTATAATGCACATCTGAAATTTGTGTTAAACAGAAAATAAGATGACTACTAAACGAAAGCTTCATGAAAGAGGGAATTTTTATCTGTTTTGTTCTGCTGATGTACCCAAGTATCTAGAACCGTGCCTGACACATAGTGACACTTAGTATATTTCTTGAATGACTGTTGTTCAACATGGAAAAAGAAAAGTATTGAATTTGAAAAAGCAATAATAACTTGTTTATTTTTGGTTACCTAGGAATGAATAGAGTTGTTCTCATACCCCTTGCCATTTTATTATCCAGTCATCTTTAAATTGGTGTAGGTAAGTTAGTGGAGCTAAATTTTAGACCAGACTTTTGGTGATTTAAATCTCTGAAAAGAGAGATTGTTTAATTTTGGCTGTTGGAATAGAAAATACACTAAATTTAGAGTTTTAAAAAAATATATTCCAAGTAAAATACATGAGAGTTTAGATATAAATGATCAGTATTGATATCTTTGCTAGATCTAATCAATTCACCCCCAGTCTCTATTGAGATTTTCTTGGATTTTCACTTTTTCTTCTGTGTTAACCTTCTAATTCAAAATTTCCAATTTTGATTTTGATTCCCAGAATTAAAGGCAAAAAGGTAGAAGATTAGACACACAGGAAAGGGTATTTTTTCTGAGATGGGCGTACATACGAGGTGTGAGTTTGGGATTGAGGAGAGGTGTACCATACTTAAAGCTCTTTCAGAGAACCTTTGAAATATGGTTATCTACATAAGAATAAGAGGGTTGGAGGAAGATTAGAGGCTTTGAAGACAAAGTTAGAATGGCCATGCTCAGAATTTAGTTGGGATTCAACAGGATCAGGAGCTTGCTCAGCAGTGATGGTTAAGAGTCCTCTGGAATTTGATAACATAGGTTTATGATTTGGTAGGTCTGTAATTTTTTTTTTGGTTGAAATCTAATATTTATTATCCAGGTTTACATTTGTATATTGTTAATAGGAGATAGAAAATATCAACCATTTTGTAAGTTGGAATAAGCTGAGGATTGACTGAAATCATAAGAAATATTTCATGATGATTTGATAAAGTAGACTTTTAACTATCTTATTGAATAAAGCAAACAAAGCAAAATAAATTTTTTATCCATGAGCTTTTTTTAAATTGAAGTATAGTTAATTTACAATATTGTGTTAGTTTCAGGTGTACAGCAAAGTGATTCAGTTATGCATATATATGAATTCACTTTATATTCCAGTATAGGTTATTGTAAGATATTGAATATAATTCCCTGTGCTATATAGCACAGTAGGTCCTTTTTTTAAATCTGATCCCATACTTATGATTTGTTCCTCTTTCTCTCCCTCTCCTTTTTGGTAACCATAAGTTTGTTTTCTGTTATAATTGTCCTTTTTTTAAAGGTCAGTAAGATGTGGTCAGTGGCCTGAGGGCTTATTTGTTCATTCATGTAAAAACTGAGCACTTACGTGTGCCAGGTACTAGTTGATACAGCAGGGAACAAAACAGGCTAAAACAAAACAAGAAAACATGCCTACACTCCAGTGGAAGAGACATGATAAAGAAGATAAATTAATGAAATTTAAAAGAAAATGAGAGTATGAGCCATTCAGTTATTAGGAAGATGAATGTCATAGCCAGAGGGAAAATAAAGCATAAAATCCTGAAGTGGGCATATGCCAAGTATGTTTGAAAATCAGCATGGAGACCATTGTGGCTGGAAGAACTGAGTGAGGCAGAGGGAAGAGGAATTGTCAGAGGTAATGGGGAGAACCTCGTTGGACTATGACCTTGGCTTTTATTCTGTGTATGTTGGAAAGCTTTTGGAGGAGTTTGAGTAGCCATGCTCTGATGTGATCTTTAAATAATATTTATTGAAGTATAATATAAACTGAACCCATTTAAAGTGTCCAGCTCTATGAGTTTAGACAGATGTGCTTACCTGTGAGACAGGTACCACCACCACAGTTAAGATACAGAACATTCCCATCGCTCAGAACTTTCTTGGTGTAGCTTTATAGTTCGCCTCTGCCTCTATGCTCTGCCCTGGAGAACTCACTGGTCTCTTCCCTCACATAGGTTTTAATGTGCTCACTTTGATTTCTGTATTGAGAGCAGATAGTAGGTGAGGGTGAGGGAGAGAGGGGATCAGTCTTTTCAGTATGTCAGGTGAGAAGAGACTGGAATGGTTGTACTGGAGATGCTAAGAAGGGTTAGATTCTGGATATCTTTTAGAAGTAGTATTGACAGGAATTAGGGATGGGTCAGACGTTGGGAATGATAACAAGAGGAAAGGATGACTCCAGTGTCTTTGGCCTGGGCAGCTAGCCAAAGGGACGGACTTGCCATTTAATGGAGTCTGTGAGGTGAGCATACTGGGGGCAGGGGAGTAGTAGGAGCTGTAATTCCAACACATCTGTAGAACATCTAATGCTTCTGTCATGTAGGCAGATGGATTTAAGAGTTTGAGCTCAGAGGAGACATGTGGTTACAGATAAGGACATGGAACTTTCTAACATACTAGCAGTGTTTAAGGTATCAGACTGGATAAGATCACCTAGGAAGTAAGTATTAAGTAGAAAAGAGAAGAAAACTAAGGACTGAGGTTTGGGGCTCATGAATATTTAATGGTTTAAAGAGCAGTACATCTGATGAAGTAATGGTCTACCTAATATAATAATAATTACCTCTACATGTTAGGGAATAGAGACGACAGTGATAAATAAGTTTGTGTTTTAAAAGATGAAGCAGCAGCTTTCAGTGCTTTCATTAGAGCAGCTCTCTGTGAAGAAATCCTTAGGCTCACCATGCGAGGAGCGAAGATGATCAAGAAAATGGAGGAGTTAAAAATGTGATGATGATCTTAGGAGTGTGGAAGAAAATGTAAAATTTACTCAGAGTTAGAAATAGTCTATGAAGATGAAAATGAGTTTTTAAGCTGCAGAAAACATCTGAGAGGATTTAAGCGCATGATTGATACCAGTTTGTCATAAATTTAAAAAACTGAGGAATAAGAGTGATTTGCATCCCTAAGTGACATTGGGGAGGCAGAGGTGCCTTGACTGAGGAAAAGTCACAAAGGTGTGGTATAACCTGAAGGACGCTTTTTCCTGGGGAAAGTGGAGGGAAGAAGCACCCATATTGGGAAAAGGTCTTCCTTGGAGACCGCAGGAAGAAGAGGGGCTAGGTGAGGAAGTTCTCCAGAGTTCCATGACTGTGCCTGGGAAGGTTTTTGATGGAGGTGGTTTGTGTTAAACGGAATCAGTAATCAGAATGTTCAATACTAACTGTAGGTATAACTTTCCCAGTTATTAAATTAGCTTTTATAGGAGATAGCCACATGATAGTGAAAAATTCTATAGAAAAATGTGTATGTAAGATACTATTCTGTACAGTTTGCCTAATTTGTCTTCTTTAATTGAAGCGTTTCTTTTGAGTCTTCTCCAGAAGAGGTCAGCAGAATCCTAGTTACCAGTCAGTTGGCTTGCTGTACTTGGTTGCTTTTCATTATGTTTCTGTCTTACTTCTTTGTGGAGAGATTGTGTTTTAGCATCCTCAGATCTGTCTTTTGGGCTTTTTAATTAATCCCATTACCAAGTCTAGAATTAAGGTACTTAACTATAGATTTTTAAATAATGGGATTAGAAAGTATTTCAGTTTTGTATGAAGCACTGTTTTTACTTCTCGTATGTTTTAAGGATGACATAACATTATTTTGTGAGACTGGAACTTGGTGAAAATCTTAAGATTTAGATTATTAAAACATTAACATTGCTAATTTGGTTAATACAGCAGTTGTAAGAGTTATAAAATATTTTGATTTTTTTAATCATTACTTTAGTTTTCAGAATCTGGCAAAGAATGACAAGCATATTATTTTTCCTAAAATAGGTATTTTTGTTCTGTTTGAGCCACACTTTAACCTAGGTAGCTTCCTTAAAATTGAGCCTAAACACTGATTGGTTAATGCTTTGTTTAAAATAACACAAATCAACCAAAAACAAAAAAACCCCAAGCAAACAACAAATACCTTAATCATAAAAAGGAAACTTCTCCCTCCTCAGCATTATTTTTCTTTACTGTTCATTTGTTCTTTAAAAAATATTCCAGCCAATATGGATTCTTGGTTGGCTATCCAGATCAGCTAGACTTAGTAAGTAGACATTAAAATAAACAGCATCTTCCGTGTCTTATCAAAGATAATATGGTTTCAGTATTTGGCTGTACAAAGCTTCTTTAATTCCTTTTTTCTCTTCTTTTTCTTTTGTGACAATCTGTGATTAAAGGTGAAATTGCTACAAACCAGAGCAGAACAAGATGTTGTGGTGGTAGTATGTGGTCTAGGATATGCACACTTAAAAATTCTTGATTAGGACCAAAAGTGTTTTTAAATCATGTATTAAAATGGTATTTTATAAGTGGTTTTTATGATTTCTCTTAAATCATTACTAGGTAATAGCTAAGAGAAAAGAGGATTCTGGAAAGATAAAACTTTTGCTTCATTGGATGCCTGAAGACATGTAAGTATTTGGAATACCATATATAAATAATAGACTGATGTCTTATTTTTATTAAAATCTTATACACAAAATGACATAAGTTACTGGATTCAAATATAAAAGACTTACAGAAATGAAACCACAAAATATTTTGAAGTTGTCAGCATTAAAAAGTTAATCGTTGAAAGCTCTTAAGAGTACCTAGCTCAAGGTATAAGCTTTAAAACTAGCTTTTAAAATTGTTTGTAATAAATATAAGTTGTTACAGCAACTTTAATTCATTTTTAGAATGTGATTATGTTTAGCATTTTTAGTGACTCACTTAGGATGCAAGCAGCTTTTGTCTTTGATTCTTTGTCTTTGTTTGAAACCTGTGCCTTGATTTAAATCATTTATTTAAAAGAAAACTCTATTTTCCAGCACACAATTAATGACATTTTATAGAAAAAGCAATTGACCAGTTTTCCAGGAGTGTTACGTTTTTCTTTTGAGTTTTAGTACTCTCTTTTAGAGCAATTCTGGCCCAGATTCTCCTTAATTTAGATGTTTCATGTTCAGTTTTCCTTTTATTCTTAAATTTTTTTTGTTACAAAAGGTAGTGAAGGTGTATCACAGAAATGTTAACAGCACCAAGAATAGAATAAATGTAAATGAATGAATTCTCACTAAAAATTAATATGTGGTTAACTCTTGTCCTTGTTATTAAATATTTTTCTACAATATTGTTTCCCAAACTTTGTTCTGAGGAGATGTTAGTGAATGTGATGTGAATCAAGAGTTTAAAAAATTGTGGGGGGGCGTGTAGCTCAAGTGGTAGAGTGCATGATTAGCATGCACAAGGTCCTGGGGTCAATCCCCTCCATTAAAAAAAATAATAATAAATAAATAAACCTAATTACCTCTCCCCAAAACAGACAGACAAACAAAAAAATGAGTTTAAAAACAGATTTGTAAGTTTACAGTGCATGTTAGCATATAAAGTAAAAAAATCTGTGATAGTCAAACTTCCATTAGTATGAAACATACTTTCCACCTCTTTCCCCCTCTTCCCTTCTGGGTTTTAGGAAGCTGCTACTCCAAGATATTTTGAAGTGGCCATATAAAATTTATTTAATGAACTCCTTTTTACTGTACATTCGTTAATCATTTTTCTGTACTATTAAAAAAAGAGACATTAAAATCTCTTTACAAATTATGCAGAATGTTAAAGATTTTGATAGGCATTACCTTCCTGAAAGTTTGTACCAATTTCCCATCTCATCTACTACATCAGAGAGCTTATTTCTCTGGCTTATTATCAGCACTGGCCATTGGCACTCTTAAATTTTGCATTTCTTTGATTATGAGCAAGATACTTAATTTTAAAACTGATTATATCTTTGGTGAATTAATGGTTTATATCCTTTGTCTCCCATTTCCTTTTTCCCTAATGAGTGCTCACTTTTTTCATACTGATTTTTAAGAGCTCTCTTAATATTAAGGTTATTTTAAAAAAAATGGAAATGTCTGTATGTTCTTAGTACTTTGGAAACCCATCCATCCAAATATCAGAATGCTTTCATTGGAATTTCCCTATAGGATAAAATTTCTTTAGATTCAGAATTTTGTTCACCTGTGCATTTTGTTTTTAAAGTAGAATTTAATCTGGTGGGATTTTTACTTATTTCTTTGAAACTAGGTGTCAGATTTCCATCAAGTCAAGCTCAAGCTCAGTAAGTTCACTTAACAAGCTTAAATGACACTTAAAATGACAGGGAGTGTGTTCGAATACTTGTTTCTAAGTTTGATGTGGCTTTGCCGTCAAAAATTCATAATTCATTCCCAGATTTATGCCTGAAATTTCACCTTGCTGTTTCTTGCTGGGACTCTGTGTTCCCATACTTAGATCACTGAGTTTCCTTGTCTAGAAGCTTGTTAACTTAGGTGGCCCAGTAAGACTAGCAGGAAAGGCTGGGTAATGTGAAGGTATATGAAGGGTAAGTTTCAAATTAATTTTTTTTTGTATATGACTTGTTTTTTAATTCATAGTCTGCCTGATGTGTGGGTGAATGAAAGTGAACGACATCAATTAAAAACTAAAGTAGTTCATTTATCAAAGCTACCCAAAGATACTGCCTTGCTTTTGGACCCAAACATATACAGGTAATTTAATTCTCGATTTGATGTTTCATGTTCCACGTTTTGAATTTTAATCTTTAATCTCCTTAAGTTTTGGATATAAGATTAGAACTTACTTTTAAGTACTTAATTACAAAATCAAGCACATGTTGCTTTCTGGAGCTTTGTATATGGAAATTACATCACAAAGGCTTATAACTTGTAGACGCTACAAAGATACTGTTTTGGTGAAGTTTATATGCCAGGTTAATTCCAACTTTACCTTGAGTAGCTTAGATTGTGATATACATAGTATTTTGAAAATAAGTGCCTTTTGTTGAAATACGTAATTCTTTTTATGGTACCAGAAATGTTGACCTGGGAGTATATCACATGTGTCCTAAATATCATTAATGGTTGAATTTTTTAAACTTATACTCTCCCCCGACTTATTAGAAGAGCAGTTTAAATATTATTGTGTTTGTTTTTAAGAGGTAGCTCAGCGTGTTCTCATTTCTAACGATTTTCTGATCTGACCTTTGTTTTAGCGCGCTGGGCATATGAAGGTATAGGGGGGAAAAGGAGAAGACCCCAGCATTTCTGGCTATGTGCTGACTCACTTTGCTAGGTGCTTTACACATACTTCATCCTCACAGCATTCCTGTGAAGTAGGTGTTCCTGTCTCTGTTTTACAGATTGGAAATCTGAGGCAAGAGGTTAAATAGCCTGCCCAGGGTTACATAACCAGTACGTGACTGAACTCCATACTGCCTCTGTCCAGATGACATAAACTAGCATGATTACAAGTGGTGAAAATGCTTAAAAGGCACTCTTAATGGGTGGACTTTCTGTATTTTAAAAAGGAATTGTAATTTAATATATATTTTACATAGGAACAGGCTGCATGAGAATAAGATGACATATGATGATTGATAAGCCCAAATATGAATTTTGCTATCATAAGGAGACTACAGTCTATGCCAAATTTTGAAACAATTAAATCTTATTCATTCTGTGACTCAACTATTTAAAATGTTATCCAACATAGTGGGATGCCTATACTTTGAGAAATCTCCTAAGAATGAAATTCTAACATAATGGCCCTTACCATGTAGGAACATTGAGATTCTTCAGTTTTCCCTACTCCTGACTTTTAAAGTATTTTTTTGGTGAGGGTGCTAAATATAAAGAAACTTGTTTTTTTGTGGGATGAGCTAGGTTATCAAAAATTAGAGAAGACAGTGAAATGACATTAAAGGAGAAGATTCAGGGACGTCCACCACCAAAAATACGAGAAAGTTAGGATTTACTTTTCTCTTTATCTAGAAAAATAATTGAATATTCTTTATTTACTGGTAGATAATTTAGGGTTTATTTCTGCTTATTTTTTGAAAGGAGTAATTAAAATTAGCATTCTAAGAGAGTGGTGTTTTGGGAGAGCCACCCTGCTATTAGGACTGGTGGTAAACATCCCCTTGGCAGTGCGTTGACAAAGGGGCATGAATCTTAATTATAAGATAAGACTCACTTCTGTGTTTCTGCCCTGCATTCTACTCCCCACTCTCTGTAGGTCTTCCTCTTTCACAGAATCAGCTTACTTTTGCTGTTCTTACGCTATGTAGGAAGCAATTTGGTATTTTTAGTGAAAAGTGACCCCCATAAAATCATTCAAGCTCAGAACTGATATCCAGAAATACATAGGAATTGCATATCGCCTGTTCTCTCTGAGTGTAATTCTGTAATTCTGCAATTCTTACTGATTTCTTGGGTACTAAAGATGTTCTTAAGACATATTTAATGCTTCTGTGGAATTAATCTTCTTTAACTGTAAACCACCCTCCACCCCATCTTAACATTTAATGTTAATAATAGTGGAGTCTAAACTTCCATTGCTTCTACTATTCCAGTAGTTAGAGTTAAGTCTACCCTAAAGTGGTGCAGAGTCGTAGGACCCCCTACATTTGCCATAGTGTAACATTTTAACAGTGCCTTGGTTTTGATTGAGAAAACTTGTGAAATTAAGTAAGAGGGGGAAAAGCAATTACTCTGATTTGTTTTAGGAGAAATAACTTGCATAACTTACGCATATCTCAAAGTAAAAGCATGGCAAACCTTCCAAAAAATGATATTAACAAAATATGAATGAATATCATATTTCAAAATATGAATAAAAAGAACGTATTTCAGGTTTAAATATTAGTTTTAAAGTTCTCGGTCATTAAAATGTACGTGTTAAACATGATTTTTTTTAGAAACACATTATCAGGCTACATAAAAAGAATTTATTAAATAGCTATATTATGTAACTAAATTTATGTCCCATTATGTGAATGCTTTGGAAATAAATAGTAATGATGATCAGAGTTCGTCCCATTGCCTACATTGCCTATTTTTCATACATATTTGTATTTTTGAATCACTTGTTTTCCTGCAGTTGAATAAAAGAATATTCCTTTTTCTCTTTTTCTAGAACAATGCCGCAGAAGAGGTTGAAGAGGTAAAAAATAAATAAATACATAAAAAGCAAACAAGCGGGGACACCTGCAGTCTTAGTCACTGACAATGGGTTTAGTAAAAGTTGCACATTAGAGTCAACCCCTTTCCTTTTTTTGTTTCTTAAATCCAGTATTTAGAATAATATTTATGCTTAGTGTAAACATTCTGTGAATGAAGTAGGCTCTTCTGTGGAATATATTAATATATTACTGTATATCCACATTTTCATGGAATGGTACTGTGGGAGACTGAGCAAACACTCTTCTGGCAACTTAGTGGAACAGCTTCTTAAAGGCTTTGCATGCTTGCTGCTTTAAGCTGCTTTTTTTTTTTTTTAAACCCTTTAGTGATTACAGTAGTTTATATTGGAAAAACAATTACAACATGTGCCCTTACAAATACCAAAAGCACTGTAAGGATAATTGTCTTGACAGTGTCTATTGATTTGAAGTCATATTAGGAAATATTTAGACAATGAAAATTATCAAGAGATAATTTACCTTTCAATTATGATAAATAGATGTGATTGGTTGCCATTTGTGTTCTTTTGCAGAACTCTGATAAGAAAAGTGTTCAATTTGTATTTAAGCAAACAGTGAACGACATTTGCAATCAACTAAAAATTCGTCTATCGAATTAGGGCTGAAAATTTCTGTTAAAGAGTGTTGCAGTATGTCTGGTGGCTCCCCTTTCAGGACTAGGGTTTTCTCATGGAGTACAGTATGTTAATATTTACCTATATAACTAATCTGTTAAACGGTTTTTGAAAAACCTCTATTTCAAATTATTTGAATAATCCTCGTATTTTCATTTTAACCTATATAAGCCTCTAATTTTTTTTCTGAGGAAAGCATTTGGTTTGAGTTTTTTTCTCTTAACATAAAAATTGTATTTTTTTAAAAGTATCTTCAGACTGAATCCTTTATACACCAAAGTTGGTTTTGAAAAGGAAAATAAAATCACTTTCTTGCTTAGTAAGCAGGAAGCCATATGGATTTTTTTTAACTTACAGAAATGGAAATATGTGTAACTTGTTAGTATTGTATCAAACAAATGTTGCATAGAGATAATAGAACATCGCTTGTAAATAATTCAGCAGATTTGTAATATATTTTTATATTATGAAATGTACTGTAGATGTTTTTCTAGAGGCATGAAAGTTAAATGTATATATTATGGGTAGAAATAATATTGAAGGATATTGTAACTCACTAGTGCTGCCAGAGGAATTGTTAATAAAGCACCTTCTTTAACAATAAATGTCTTTTGCAGACTTAAGGGACTGTGTACTACTGTTAATATCTATAAGAACAAAACACATTGAACATCCTTCCAGAAAGTCTTTGAGGGAGGACCTATACCCATAATAGAATTATGGCACTCATTTCTGACAGTGACCGTGAAATCAATTATTTCCTTACTGTTGGAAGGACATATTGTAAAGTATGTGGTTATATGCAGTCAAACTGCAGAAAATACTCCTGATTGAGGAGTCTTCACTTTACTACAGTGATATAAACCAGCAGTTTTTACACTAAAATTTTTTAAAGAAATGATAGACAAAAATATAGAATTAATAAGCCTTTGGTTCCAAAATGGGAAAGGTTCCATGATACATAAATCATTTCTCATTTACTTAAAAAAACTAAAAAATAATAAAAAAAATTATGGGAGACTTTATTCGTTAACAATGGGGTAAAGAGCTATATACATGAAATGAGTCATATAAAATTAAATGAAGTGCAAATAAAAGCACTGCTACTATAAGACATTCTGGAATGGTTGTTTAATAAGGGTATTATTCATATGATCTGTAGCAAATGTGATTTTATTTTTAAAAAGAAAAGAAAAGCAGTGTGTTTTCTTACTATTTTTTTGTTTTCTTTTGCTTAAGCACTTCATCAATTGCTTTATTCTGTATCTACGAAGTAATCTGCAATCTTCTTTGTTCTTTTTAAATTTTGATTTGTTATAAAATTGCCAAATAGAAGTGTTTCAGATATATAGTTTGTACTTGTATTTTCTATTTTATTGCCTCATGTTCTTGTAAGTCATTCTTAACTGACCGATGATTGTAGACCTTGCCTGAGTATTTTTTCTAATAAAACAAAGCAAATCACATTTAGCTTCAGAATTGTAACAATTCAATTAAGTTTTAAAACGACATCTGAAATATACATCTAATGTTTTCTTCAGGGGCACAGCGAATAAACTAGTTTTCTCATCATGTAGAAATACTTAGACGTCAAAACCAAATTTCATGGTTTTTGCATCTGAGTACTCAATCACTCATGATGCTCTGCTGCTTATCTGACTTTGTTCTGATACTATTTACACACCAAAAGGAATATGGAATTGAAGTAATTTTATGACTTGTACACACACACACACACACACACACACACACACATGTATACATGCAATTATGATTGGGAAGTAAGTGTCACTTTTTGGTTTATAATGTTCATTTAGTGATAACTATCCATCTGTGTTACTCCTCCTGCCCCTGTGCCTGTGCGCCACCCCCTGCCCCCACTCCCGCCATATGTGATGTATTTGTAATATGGCACCTGAAGTAATCATTGTGTTTTCAGCAGCAAGCAGAAGTGCAGCCCACGGGCATACCCATTCATTTACCTGGAACTGCTTTCTCCCTGTAGTGGCACAGTTGAGTCATGGCACTTTATTGCTTGAAAACCTGAAGTATTTACTATCTGACCTTTTAAGGAAAAATTTGCCAATACTTGGTTATAGTTGATAATATTTTTGGAAAAATAAACCTAGACTGCACAACTTAATATGATAGTATTTAATATCACTTTAATATGACAGTATTATCTTGGTAATAAGCCAGCACGTCAAATTTCAGTGAAGCTGTTTCATATACATTAGAGTAAGTATTGCCATATTAGGTGCATGCAATACGTGTTTTGTTTTTTTTTAAGATTTTACATTGGATTTCTTAATCATTATTAACATTTTGCCATTTGTGTTTTGTATTTTGTTTTACTCAATAGGGCTAAAAGAGATTTTGTAAATTAGATCATGTTTAAAACACAAGGCACATCTGCTCTATCTAAAAGAATCTTCGAAGTGGAAAGTATTACAAAATTTGAAGTTACTATTTTTCTACTAAACTTACTTTTTCATACATAAATTTTCCCTAAAGTGGACACACATTACCTCTGAATTTCAGATGAAAGGAAATTAAGATGGACAGTAAATAACTCTCAGTGCGTATTTTAAGATTTGTTTTACTCTCATCGGAAGCATTGATAATCATGTCAGTAAACCTTTGTGAAACTTTTTTCTTTCACACCTTAATAAAATGTTTTAAATATGCAAATATTCTTAAAAGGCTAGACTTTGCTGCAGTTGTTTAAGACATATTTTACTGTTTGCTATTTGAATTCTATTTTTCAGTACTATATAGTTAACAGAAGTGTTAGATATTTGAATAAAATATAAAAATGGGAAAATACGGTTGGAGTCTTTAACGTAGTTGATAGGGGGTGCATTCTATATGGTTATAACTTTTTTTTCTCCTTTATATTTAAGTTTTTAATGCCTCAGCATAAGGTCTCTAAAAGACAAAGAAAAATTTTTAGTTTAGGTCAATTCTCATCATGATAAACTGTTACATTTATTTGTATAACAGCCTAGAGTTGCAGACCTGCAAGGAGATCCTAATATATAGTCTTTATTAAAAGGGGAATTAGATTTTATGTCATTTGAATGTCGTCTTTTTTTTTTAAGAGAGAAGTGGCATATTTTGAGGGGGGTTCAATGAAAAATATTTTTCTATTCTAAAAACTAGAAAATATTTCTTAAAAGGTAAGATTTTTAAAGAAAATGTCACATATTTGTCTTTTTAAATAAAGAACCTGACCTAGTGGAGGGTGTTTTGCAATTCCAACACTAGCTTTTATATAAATAAAGTCTGAGGTTTTTTTAATGTTATTTTGTTATTTCTATGACCCTTAATAGTCTTAAAAATGGAACAAAATGCTGTTCTTATTTTAAATTTTAAAAAAGGGTAAGATATTTACAAAGTCCAGTTCATTCCCTGTAGCAGATTTGCATGGTGTATAACACATGATCCTATTACTCTGAAAATTAAAAAGGACTTTGTAAGCAGAGCAGGAATTACAATTCACATATTTTTCTAGATCAGTGTTCTACCATACCATACTACTTTTCACAGTGTGAAAAAGGAAATAAATGTACCTTGTAATACCACTACAAAGTTGTTTTCAGTGTTTATGCCGTGGCCAGTCCCTAGCATGATACATGGTATAGTCTCTAAAATATTTGTAGAATGAGTATCATAGGTGAATATTTATTAACAGTAAAGTATTTTGGAGAGTATGGTTGAAGCAACCTGGCTTAAACCATACGCTGTTATGATGTTATTTAACTTTATATATGAACTTATAAAGGGAACTATACTTC